ATGCATCAGAATATCCAATTGCACTTGACCCTACACCTCCACTGGCCAAGGTGTGATGGTTACATCTTTCTTATATCACTCACCCTGGAGACCTCTGAATCCTGCACTGAGAAAGACCCCCATTTCCTCCTGCCCTGTAGTGAGTTCACTTCTGAGACTTCCTCTTCCGTGTCTGCCTACAGCTCAGGACAACTCAACCTCTTCCTCTCTGTCACCTCGGGAGTTTTCAAGAAGGGAAACAATCCCATCCCCAGCGTTTCCAAACTTCCCTGTCTCGACTTGAACCTAGTAAAGAAACCCATGTGGTTCTGAAATCATAGTTTGCTTCTCTCTTTCCTTTCCTTGAACCTTGAAGCTCTGTCAACACTGGTGCCCCAGAACCAGGAAAGGGATAGGCCAAGTTTCACCTCTAAGATGGGGTCACTGAGATGATGGCAGGTAGAAGAGTGTAATTTGTTTGTAGTTGCACAGGATATTTGGAGGTGCAAAGGATAGTGGGAATGATGACTGTCTGCTCTCACCCAGAGCCTAGACAGAAGATGTTGGCATATATGAGGAGAAAGCTGTGGGGACAGAAGGGTTGAAGATCCAATTCTGCTGAAGAGCTGGTTGCCAAGGTGGAAACTTGCTTGATTTCCCTACTGAGGTCTACAGCACCAGCTTGGAAGCTGATAATATGAGGCCAAGTTAAGTAACCAGGCTCAGTGAGAGTACCATTTCCTCCATGACAGTTTCCCAAGCCAGAGGCCTCTCTATCTGTCTCTGTGGCTCCCTAACATCTGGTCAGTTCTTTCCCTCTTCTGACCTGCTGTGTGTTAGTGTTTGACTATTTTATCACTCTCCTGGCCAGCCAACTCCTTGCAGGCAGTGGCTAGGCTTTGCCTGTCTGTGTCTTCCACCCTACCTGACCCTTTGCTTTGCACATTCGTATTTGGTAAATTGTGGTAATGTCCTCTTTCTTAAAATCCAGTGGAGGTAGTTGGCTTTTTTGGTGATGGTTCGGGGACCAAGAGTTTGTTGGAGGACTCAAAGTGGGACCTTGGAACCGGCTAACTCAAATTTGAGGAAAGGAGAGGAGGAAAAGCTTTTTTTAAAAATTTTTTTATTTAAAAAAAATTTCTTTTTTACATTTATTTATTTTTGATAGAGAGACAGAGCACAAGTGGGGGAGGGGCAGAGAGAGAAGGAGACACAGAATCCGAATCAGGCGCCAGGCTCCAAGCTGTCAGCACAAAGCCAGACACGGGGCTTGAACTCACAAACTGTGAGATCATGACCTGAGCCAAAGTTGGATGCTTAACCGACTGAGCCACCCAGGCGCCCCTGGAAAAGCTTTTTTATATCTGGGCCCCTGCCTCTACTGACCCTTGGCTGCATCTCAGCACAAGGCTCAGATTCCTTCAGGCATTAAAGTGTTTTTGAGTTTGTTGTAGGAAATCTGCTTTACAGATTTTGTTAATCATCTTTGAAATAAGGATTTCTCCAGGCTCAACCACCAATCTTCCACCTCAGATCTGGGACAAACACATCCCCGATCTTTCACTTCTCCATAACAGGAAAATGTGCTCTGCCTGCACTGAGGGAAAGTGGGAGGTAGGGGGAGCTGAGGGTCTCAATCCCAGTGGCTGGCTTCTCTAAGACAGCGTCAGAGTGTGACTTATTTACAGAGGACCCCACCTCTCAGCTTTCCTTTGCACCCCCAGTCTTTGGAAACCATTTCTTTTCCTTCCTTTAATTGTGCACATTAAGTCCTGAGAATACCAAAATACAGGACTCCCCAGACCTACTCAGAGGACTGTCTGCTTCAGATCTCTCCTTGTCACACTCACTCTGTAGCATTAAAATTCCAGACCCTTGCCCTGGATTCCTGTGGTCTACTGTAGTCAGGGCCACCTCCTTTGACCATTTTTAGAACCACCTCACCTGGGGTGACAGGGGCCAGATCACAATATTCTGTTCCATATCTTTCCTTTCTCTTGCTTTGGACTTGCCTTTCGATCCCACCTCCATGTGAATAGCCTATGGAATTATGGGATATTGATTTTCCATTTCTTCTCCTTTGTCTTCTTCTCATCCCTGCGGTGGCTTCCGTGCCGTACTTGCTCATGTCTCAGCCAAGAGAGCTGCAGAGGTTATACAGGGAGGTGGTGAATTACCCTGGTTCCTACTCCTTTGAGTTCCTTAGTCTACCCACCCACCCCTCCGCCCCCCAACTCTGGTATTCCCTGACTCTCTCCTGAGAGGAAATTGAAAGCGATTGAAAGAGAGCCCCAGGGAGTGAGAACTGTCATGGCCTGTTACAGTCTGTGCTGTCTGCTTTAAGCCACCACCTTCTGGTTGGATTCAACTGTTTCCCTAATAGTGTGATCCTGAATGGAGGAAGAAGTATTGGGAATGAAACTAGTGATGGAAAACATTTGGGTAGATAATAGTGTTCATATCTGTGCTTGGTTTTTAAAAGGAATCTTCAGCTATATCAGAATTTTGAATGGAGGCATCCTGTGCGGTTGGGATCTTGTTTGGTCTTTGAAGTAAGATCTCTTCATGATGCCCTCCCCAGTCTACTCCCTCAACCCCCTGGCAATCCATTGTGGTTAGGAAGAGCCGAGCACATGGGACTTACTTCTCTTCAGATTTACTGTCTAAGAAAATGTGCAAGTAAAACAGAATATGTGCCATTGCTAAACAGAGTCGTGTATTTTAAATTAAAATTAAAATTTGCATGGCAGGCCTAGTCCTACATATAAGACAAAATGTTGCTGTGATGAGTCTAAAGCCAGTACTCAAAAAACCCAAAGGTAGGTTGTTATGCACAGAAAGTCAGCTCAGCAACCAGGTTGGGAGAAAAGTGGTAGCAGAGTGGCAGGGTTGGGTCCAGTGTAGACCCAGGACTGGTGTCCCATCAGACATTGGTCCAAAGAAGGTGGGCCTTAAGGAAGCACTTTTAATATTTAAACAACATCAGGGGCGCCTGGGTGGCGCAGTCGGTTGAGCGTCCGACTTCAGCCAGGTCACGATCTCGCGGTCCGTGAGTTCGAGCCCCGCGTCGGGCTCTGGGCTGATGGCTCAGAGCCTGGAGCCTGTTTCCGATTCTGTGTCTCCCTCTCTCTGCCCCTCCCCCGTTCATGCTGTGTCTCTCTCTGTCCCAAAAATAAATAAATGTTGAAAAAAAAAATTAATATTTAAACAACATTACTAGACGGTTCCTGGAATGGATTGTTGTAAGTGGGAACTGACACCAGCCCCAAGTAGGGCCCTTGTTTGAATCTAGACTGGAGGGAAAAATCAGTAGCAGGGGCCACAACTGGTACCACCCCTTTATGGCCTTTGCATAGAGCTGGACATGTGCTGTTCCCTGCCAGTCCCTTCTGCCCAGAGATCCCAGTAGAGTGAGACTGGAGCTCTGTTCCGGCACTGCAGAGGGTCAATGTCTGGACAAGGGAGTGACTGAGCTGTATGAGCACAGACAGCTGGTTTTAGGTGTTTAGCAGCATCCCCTGACTGCCCTCCCCCTACTTGAAAAATCGTAAGATGCAGAGAAAACTTAAGATTGTGGATTTCTTTGTAAGAAATTAAAATCTGACAACAGGATCTTTCAGACCACATGGTTTTTGCACATATGGGGATGCATATGCCTGGGATGTGTCTGCCTGCGGTGGACTGGGTTGGCTCCGACAGGTACATGTGATCGTTCTGTGATTGTGCTCTTGTTGTACCATGTGGGTGATTAATTAGTGACCAGGAGCATAGGTTGCTGAAGCATAGGAAGGTATGCTGAGCATAGGAAGATGAAGAGGAATGGTTAGTATAACAACATCTGTGTTGCCAGGGAGAATAATTTCAGACATGTTTGGGGGTCTGTTAATCCCATTTTCCATCTTTATTTCATAAAGTAGTCTCAAGAAAGGAAAAGAAGACAAACTCAAATGTTTACTCTGCCTCTCGAACTATTTGTAAGTCCCTCAGAGACAGCCTGGCTGTTCCCTTTCACCTACTGGTGGACAGAGGCTACTTTAATTAAGGTTATTGGGAGACACCAGAAAAATATGGTATAATGACTCTGAGCTGAAAACAAACAAAAATAATATGGAAAACAACCTTGTGTGTAATGACTACTCTCAATTTATGAGGACTCGCACAGATAAGGCAGGTTTCATAGAGAATTTCCGGGACACTACTAACCCAAACCAAAAAGCTTCTAGGGTAAAGACTAGATTCTGTCAGCAGATACTCACTTTACCAATATCAGTATCCAACCTTCTTTGAATTCCTGTATACGTTTGTAGTAGCTTACCTTTAATTGTTATGCTGTTAGTGTTTATTGCAGAAATAAAGCCCTTGCTCCTGATCACTAATCACCCACATAGTATGACAGAAGCACTGTCATGGAGTTGCCAGTGGCACCTGTCAGAGCCAACACAGTCCAGCACAAGCGGACACATCCTGTCACCTACATTCTCACAAGAGCAAGAACTGTGCTCTTGTGAAATGCTTTCATTTTAACCAGTAAGAATTTCTTTACCAATAAAGTTATAAGCCAGAGACAGGAAATTCTATCTAATTTAGAGACAGATGCATTCTTCTTAAGGCAACAACACATAGCTAACTATTTCAATTTCAGGATGATATTATATATAAAAGGTGAATAATTTTATTTTTAAAGCAGTTTGTACAAATCTTTACATTCCACCAACTGAATAGGCTTCTTTATTGGCATAGTAGTTTAGAAAGTGCATTAAACCTTTACAGCTCCAAGGTCACGTGGCAGTAGGTTTGTTTCCTGATACCAAGCCTCGATTTTGACCCTCAAGCCTTGGGGAACAGCTTACTCACATTGATGAGCCTTTTGAATTTAGGCCAAAAAAAAACAAAAAACAAAAACCCACGGATCTGAGCTTTTAACAGTGCATAACTGACTACCTCGAGCCCAGGCACAAGTTTCTGGAAGACCCGTAGCTATTGGGGTTGTAACTTTTCTTCTCTCTTCCTCCTCACTCAAGGCATAATTCAATCCAGAGACAGCTCAACTTGTCAAACCCAGACTTCAATATCCAGCAGCTTCAAAAACAGGAACAGTTGACTGGAATTGGCCGAATTAAACCGGAGTTATATAAGCAGAGGTCACTGGATACTGATGATGGGACAAGGAGTAACAGCAAAGCCTGTGGGAAACTGAATTTCATTTTGAAATATGACTGTGACTTAGAGCAGCTCATAGTGAAGATTCACAAAGCTGTCAATTTGCCCGCCAAGGACTTCTCTGGGACTTCAGATCCTTATGTCAAGATCTATTTGCTTCCTGATCGGAAAACAAAACACCAGACTAAAGTGCACAGAAAGACCCTAAACCCTGTGTTTGATGAAGTGTTTTTGTTTCCGGTTCCCTACAATGACCTTGCAGCACGGAAGCTTCACTTCTCTGTGTATGACTTTGACAGGTTCTCTCGCCATGACTTGATCGGCCAAGTGGTGGTGGATCACTTCTTAGACTTGGCTGATTTCCCCAGGGAGTGCATCCTTTGGAAGGATATCGAGTATGTCACCAATGTAAGTCCAGCATTTCTCCATTTGGGGGGAGGCTTCTTGGTCCGCATGCATTCAGATTACTTACACCTTATTTTATTTTGGGGGCAAAGTATAAAATTCACTTCCATGTCTGGATAGCTGTTGTTTCAGAACCTTCCTTGTAACTTCCCAGAAGCGGACCTTTAATAGTATTCATTTTAAAAGTTCCCGGAATTGCTCATGAAAACAGTATTAAAGAGCAACGTTCTCTCTTTTCTACTTTCTAATTCTTAGCTATTCCCTAACTGGCAGTAGATATTATCTGCCCTCCTTGCCACATTTTCTGTAGAGCTTTCTTAGATTATTTGTGCTAAATGGATCCTGGCATCCTATTCGCTGTAATCTGCAGCTACGAGACCATTGCCAGGCTCTCTGAGAGCATTATGTCCTTGCCCGTGTGCCCAGGTCAGCTCAGTTGCATTTCCCATGATCAGATCTTCAACTTGAATCCCAGAAGTGAGAATGGTTGACAAGAGTTTGTACCACATTTGTAAATACAGAATCAAAGTGACAGGGAGTTCAGTCTGAAAAGATCTGCAGATATCGGCAAAGCTAATCAATGGAAGGTCAAATCCAATTTAGAGCTCAGGAGAGAGGTCTGAAGGGCTACGGCAATGACACCACAAACCCATGTTTACATTTTAAATGAGATTGCAGTGGTGATATTATCACTCCATTTACATCCTTATCACTCTCCTGCAGACATGTATTGACACTGCTGAAATAGAAGGAAAACTGGACTTTCTTGGGTAATGCTGATATTTTAGAGCCACTTGCTTCTTACATCGGTCCAGATTCCTTCAGGCAACTTTGCCTGCACATCTTCTAGAATACAAGCCCTTCTGAGGCCAGCATAGTTTTCTTTCTCTGCCTTGGCAATCAAAGAAACCAAGCTCCATAATCCTTCCTCAGCTCAGATGATGATCCAGCTTGAATTTGGAGCCCAGTAAGTGAAAGGCTCTCATCCTGCTCTGGAAGAGAACACGCAAAAATCTCTGTGTGGTGACCAAATACCCACACTAGTCTTTTCACTCTTGTCTGCCTTTGTGAACTGGGCACTCACCCACACTTTGGCTGTTCCAAGAGACATCTTCTCTTCTCATGGCACTAGATACTGGTGCCAGCTTTGTCGTGATACTCACATAAGCAAAGTGTAGCACTCAGTTTTGCTGGCCCTTATCACAAGAATGAAGAAAGGAAAGAAAGAGCTGGAGAAAGAGTGAAGAGTCTGTTTCTGAAGTCTTTTTTCTTTGTTCTGTTCTTTTTCACTAAATCTACCTATAGCACAATTTGCAAATTACTATCATTCTATGATAAGATTTACTGTCAGAAAGAACTATCATCCAACCTGATTTTTCCTCAATTCAGTTGGCTGGTACTTGACTTTTCACATAAATTTTGGCATCAAATTGTCAAATTAATAATTCTTTCTGGTATTTGGACTTGTATGAAGTCTGTAGATTAATTTAGGGAAATTGTGCATCTTTATGATATTGAGTCTATTCATTACCATAGTGTATTTTGTTTCATTTATTTATTTCTGTAAAATTCTAGGGGCACCTGGGTGGCTCAATCAGTTAAGCATCTGACTCTTGTTTTCAGCTCAGGTCATGATCTCACAGTTTATGAGTTTGAGCCCCATATCAGGCTCTGTGCTGACATTGCACAGCCTGTTTGGGATTCTTTCTCTCTCCCTCTCTATCTGCCCCTCCCCTGCTTGTGGGTGCGCTCTTTCTAAATAAATAAATAAACTTGAAATAAATAAATTAATTAAATTAAATTCTTTCATTCGAGGCTTATAATTTTCTTCATGAGGATCTTGCATGTCTCTTGTTAGATTTATTGGTAGGTGCCATGTTTTTCATTATTTTAGGTACAGTTGACCCTTGAACAACATAGGTTTGATCTGCTCAGGTTTACTAATACATGGATTTTTTTTCAGTAAGTGCAATACAGTGCTATAAATGTATTTCCTTTCCTTATGATTTTCTTAATAACATTTTCTTTTATCTGGCTTACTTTATTGTAAGCATACAATGTATAAAACATAACATACAGAATATGTGTTCATTGACTATGTTATCAATAAGGTTTCCAGTCAACAGTAGTCTATTAATAGGTAAGTTTTTGGGGGTCAGCACTCTAATCTTCACATTGTTCAAAGGTCAACCATAGTATTTTTTCTAAAATTGCATTTTCTAACTTTTGTTGTTATGTAAATGCAGTTTAAATTTATCTTCAATTTGGCAATCTTGTAAAATTCTTATTAATGCTTATAATTTGATTGTAGAATCTTCTGAATTTTCCTTATAGAAAATGAGACGTGACTTGATAGTTTTGTGGGGTTTTTTTCTAATCTGGATGCTTTTATTTATTTTTTAATTCAGCTTACAAACTAGGATTTCCAGTATAATGCCAAATAATTATGGTAGTAGTCATCCTTGACTTATTCCTACTTTTAAGTGAAATGTTTTTAACATTTTCATAGAATATAATTTTGCTGTAGATGTTTTGTGGATGTCTTTACCATATTAAGAATGTATCCCTTGGGGCGCCTGGGTGGCTCAGTTGGTTAAGCATCTGACTTCCGCTCAGGTCATGATCTCGCAGTTTGTGGGTTTGAGCCCTGCGTTAGGCTCTGTGCTGACAGCTCAGAGCCTGGAGCCTGCTTCGGATTCTGTGTCTCCCTCTCTCTCTGCCCCTCCCCCACTCGTACTCTGTCTCTCTCTCTCTCTCTCTTTAAAAAATAAATAAACATTAAAGAAAAATTTTTTAAAAAAAGAATGTATCCCTCAAAAGAAGAAGAAGAAGAAGAAGAAGAAGAAGAAGAAGAAGAAGAAGAAGAATGTATCGTTCCATTCCTTCATGACTAAGACTTTTTATTATAAACATTTGTTTTGTCAAATGCTGTGATCCTGTGAGGTTTTTCTCTGCTATAATTTGCTATTTTACTCAATTACATTGATCAGGTTTTTAATTTTGAACCAATCTTATATTCCTGGTATGATCCACACTAGATTTGATATATTACCTATGTTGCATATTAAGTTCACTTTGCTAGTATTTTGTTTAGCATTTTTTAAAATCTGTGCTAATGAGTGACACGTGTAATTTACTTTCTCATATGGTTCTTATCTGGGTTGGAACCAAGGTAATTCTTGTTTTATAAAATTAGTTGGGGGATTATTTTGGCTGCTTTCCTTTTGTTTTTCCTTGGTGCTCCTGGAGGCTTTGGGGTTTGTTTATTTTTCTTTGAACTGAAAATAACTCTTTTACTCTCTGGCTAGTAGTGAGGTTTAGGTAGTGAGGAAGAGAAGGGAGCAAGGTTGGTATATTTATTCCCCTACATAGCCTCCTTAGGGTATCTGTAGGCTGGCAATAACCTTCAACTGAAAGCCACAGTTCCACATATGTCTTTGTTTTGCTATTGTTTTTAGAATGTTTTTCTGGGTATAAAAATAGGGTTTTTGGCATTGCCAAAAATGATTTTGGCATTACAAAGCTATCATTCCGTAGTCATCTGACCTCCATTTGCCTTTGAGAAGTTGACGTTTAGTATAATGTTTATTCCTTTGTATGCAGTTTTGTTTCCTTTGCTTTCAATATCTTGCTTTCCTCTTTAGTGTTCCATAGTTTAATTGCTAACGTTGCTAAGTGGCTATTTTTATTTATTCAGACTGATTTATAGGGTTCCTGAATATGAGATTGTTTCTTTTATCAGTTCTAGAAAATTCTCACCCATTTACCTCTTTTCATTTGTAAAAGTTTCATTTGCGGTGTTTCCACACTTGCCTAATATCTTTAATAGTCTCCTTTTTTGTTTCAACATACTTTCAGTTCCCTTTTTAATTTCTTTTACCATTATGTACAAGTTACTTTTATATTCTGTTCCTAACTGCACCAGCTATAATCTTTGTAGCTCTGATTTTTTTGTTTGGTATTTCCATTGACTAACTCATCATGCCTTGTTGCCTCCTATATTTAATGATTTGTGATTGTGAGTTCATACGGCTTGAAACTTTGTCAGTAGAAAATTTCATGTTCTGGGCTTCATGTTCTGCACTCTGAAAGTGCATTCCTTCAGGGATGATTTGTGAGGTAACCAACAGGGAACCATTCTAAACCGAATTTTGAGCTTGAGGGTTTGGGGGCAACAGAGAAGTAGGGTGAATATAGGCTCCAAATGTATAAGTGCAGGCTTGTATTAATGGTTAGAAATCGTCAGGGGAGACTTTTTTTCCTTGCTTTCCCTAGAGCAAGTCGAGGACAGGATATATCTTTAGCTTCTACTTCTGCAGGGCAGAAGTTCTTTTTTGTTTATCCTTTAAGGATGTGACCCTTAATCTTTAGGATTCCAGCTTCATGCAGGGTTCTCCCACAGTCGTCTAAAAACCACACACTAAACCACTAGAGATTCACATTTACCTTCATTCAAGCTCCAGTTCCAGGGCTTACTTACCTCCGTGGATTCATACTTACTTACTGTTTCTGGCCACTGAAAAATTGCATTTTTGTCCCATGAGCTCTGCCATGCATTGAAAATGATTTTGTAGGGGCATCTGGGTGACTCAGTCAGTTAAGTGTCTTGGTTTCGGCCCAGGTCATGATTTCATGGTTCATGGGTTGAAGCCCTGCATCAGGCTCTCTGCTGACAGCTCAGAGCCTGGAGCGTGCTTTGGATTCTGTGTCTTCCTCTCTCTCTCTGCCTCTCTCCTGCTCATGATCTTTCTGTCTCTCAAAAATAAATAAATGTTAAAAAAAAAAAAAAAGAGAAAAGGATTTTGTAATCCAGTATTTTTACCTGGAGGAGTTTCTGTGAGCATCTACCCTGTTGTTGGAAATATCGTGTGCTACAGTATATTGTTTAAAGATTGTTCAAAAAAGCAGTTGTTACCTGTACTAACTGGATAGTAATCTGTGTATTGGATGTTTGCCTTGTGATTGAATAGCCAGAAAGAACCTTAGAGGTTCTGTAATCTGAA